TGTGCACAGAAATTTTGCCACAAAAACATTTTGTGAATTCAAAGGAATGTGCGTGTCAAATCAGGGTCTGGCTTGAGCGACAGCGGACTAAAGACTCGAGAGCTTCCTTCTTCTAGCATTTATTAAAAAAGACAAAAACTTGGCTTTAAAAAATTCTCTCATTCTCTGTATATGTGTTTCATTTAGAGAAATGTTTTAGAGAAACATAATGCTATTACAGATGGAAAATTTTGAGGCGATACATTCTAGAAATCTCAGCTCATATAGCTTCAATTCCTCTCAGCTCCTGCGTCATCTGAGCCACTGTGATTTTGGTGTGAAAACCAGTTATACGTGTTCAACCTCAGTAATATGTTGCTGAATGGAACGTTTCAGAGGAAAAAGGAACCAGAAGAGCGGCTTTTAGTTCTTCATTTCCTTCAGCCAGAAACAACCTCACACTGTTTTTCTAAATATTTGTTTAGCCCTATTTAAGTTTATTCATCCTTTTGAAAATGCACTGTTTAAACATATGAAACTGTTTCACCATTTACCTGGTAGTGAGAAAGTTAGAATCATGTTTCTACATAGTATTTTCTAGGGGAAAAACACTTTCAGACGTCATGGTTAGGCAAAGAGGAGCATCCCCATGTCAGTTATTTTATTGGTGATGACAGTAAGGGGAAAGACCAAGTTGTCCAGGTTTCTGGATAAGAGAAGGGGGTTCGTCTAAAGCTGTTGGGCCCTTGGTATGTTTGAGGCCTGCAGTTGATTTTTACACCAGACTCTCTATGCCAGGGGCAATTAATTACAAGGTGGGTTTTCAGAGAATGTTTTCTAGATAACTTTAAAGGGTCAACGCTCTTTGCCCCACGCTTCCACCTGACCCCAGAGGGAGAGGGAAAAAGAGAAAAGAGACCAGACAGAGCTTTTCGTGTTGAAGTGTTTTGAGAATGTCACTATCACAGTTATAGTCAATGACAGTTGTAGTCTTTGAAATGACTCTTGAGACTGGGAAAGGGGCAAAGCAGACCCTTCTTCCCCCTCCAAGTGCCAGGCTGCTTCTCCCCTGCCCTCCCCTCTCCTCCCCACCCCACCCCCCTCTGCTCCGCTGCTCGCTCTTTCCTCTCCCCTCCCCTCAGGAAACTCAGCTTTTGGAGTTCTTTTGCAGAGGAGGTCTTCAAGGAGTTGCCTGTGAGTTAAAATATATGTCAAAGAATGGACTTTGCCACCACCTGGGGAGTAAAACCACTCTGCTTACTTTGGAGATCTTGCTTTTGTTAGGTCAGGGAGGTCACAGCTTGACCAGTGGCCTTTTAGTAAGTCGGGCAGACTTCATCTGGACTTTGAGGGCTGCTCATTGGTGGGGCCTTGGAAAGTTCTGTTTTTGCCTTTGAGCTCTCCCTCTTCTCCCCCTCGGCTTCTGTCCTCACCAGGGATTACTAAATATGGGACCTTGGTAGCTACCTAGGATTACTGAAGGCATCAGACAAGCAGAAAACCAGAGCAGCGTTAGCTGGTCCTAGATGGTCCTTTGAAGAAGACGACAGTTCTAAAACAGGTGTAGTCAGGTATGTTGATCGTCTACATAAATGACTTTTACAGATGATTTTTGTTACTAATGTTTTTTCCAGAATTTGTCCCTGCCCCCTCCCCTGCAAGCTGTGGGGCCTCAGATAAAGCTGATTTAAAATAATTGAAGGTGGTAAAATATACATAGCATAAAATCTATCATTTTAACCCTCAAGTATGTAGTTCAGTGTTACTAAGAACATTCACATTGTTGCACAACCGTCACCACCACTCATTTCTAGAATTTTTTCATCTTCTGAAACTGAAACTCTGTTAAATAATAATCCCTCATTCCTCCCTGCCTTCAGCAGCTGGCAACCACCATTGTACTTTGACTCTATGGATTTGACTAATACATATGCCTCATATTGAAATAGGACAGAATTTGTGGACATTAGCATAATGTCCTCCATATTCATCTATGTTATAGCCTATGTCAAAATTTCTGTCCTTTAAAGACTACATAATACTCCATTCTATATGTATATCACATATTTTGTTTACCCATTTATTCATCGATGGATATTTAGTTTGCTTCCACCTCCAAGGTGTTGTGAACAATGGTGCTATGAATGTGAGTGTAAAGATATCTTTTGGGGTACCTACTCAAAAGTGGACTTATCAGATGTATGATAGTTGTATTTTTTGAGGAATGGTCATATGTTTTTCCATAGTAACTACACCATTTTATATCCCAACTAGGTTACCAACAATTTTATTCAGCTGTTTGAAATAAGACTCTAGTCTTAAAGCATTCTTCCATTTCTCCCTCAACGTATGCTTTCACGTAAGGTTATTTAAACACAAAGGAAAGATTGTGAGATGACAGTAAAGGACTTGGTAGAAAGAGCAGGCACTCTTAACATTTCTTGTACTTGCAGTTATAGCATAGAAACTCTTAAAAATTCTTTTTCACTTGTCTTTTTTGTTTCTCTATGATGTTTATAACTTATTGATGACAATATAGTGCATTTTGTGTTAGTGAACTAAGTAATCATTAGATTTGGAGGTGGTGCTTAAATAATGTTGCCATAGGCATCACAGAACAGTTTCTCTTGAATGATTTCGTTGGGACAAATTCTTGAAAGTAGAGGAAACTGGGTCAAAGTTGATCAATTTTTTAAAATGACTATTGCTCTGTCACTTTTCTATGGGAGACTTATTTTCCTTCCGACCTTAACGTTAGACTTCTTAGAGATGTATTTATATTTTATGAATTAAATGGGTTGCTAAAATAACATTCAGCACATTTTAAGGGCTTGATATTTCATATGAGTGCATCTGAAAAAAAAAACACTTTTATTGTATAATAAGGGAAACCTGAATAGCTTAGAAGTTGTTACTCAAAATGTTTGTTTATTCAAGTAGAAATTTTTTTTTTTCCTCCAGCTAACCTTCAGAGACATTTCTAAATGGAGCATTTTACCTTTTTAAACACAGTAGGTTACCTACTTACAAGAAGGGCACCCAATCCCTCTGGTGACAGTTTTGTTAAGGATTTAAATCATCAGCATAGGCTTAGAACAGATTAGTGCAGAGCTCTTTGACAGTACTGTGTGAGAGAAAGTATTTTAGAAAGTATTAACTGGGAAAGTTACTAATGCCAAAGGACCTACTCAGAAGGGCTCTATCCAAAGAAACAAAAAGTTAATTAAGACAAGCAATAGATAACCAATATACAAAGCATGGCACAGACCACAACCATCTGGGGGCTAAGGAAGGCAGTGGAGGTTGGATGATAAAGGAATTTTGTATAATAATGAATGTGAGATTAAATATGTATTGAAGTCATTAATGGGCTTTCCAGGTGGCTCAGTGGTAAAGAATATGCCTGCCTAGGCAGGGCATGCGGGTTCGAACTCTGGATCCCTGGGCCAGGAAGATCCCCAGAAGAAGGAAATGGCAACCGACTCTAGTGTTCTTGCTTGGGAAATCCCATGGACAGAGGAGCCTGGCAGGCTGCAGTCCATGGGGTCGCAGAGTTGGACATAAGTGAGCACACATACACTAGTACATTAGTGACACATAGTATTAATTAGTAAGTACATAGGAATACGTATTGCTAATTTTTGTCTTTTCATTGTGTTCATTGGAAAAGGCCCTAATGCTGGGAAAGATTGAGGGCAAAAGGAGAAGGGGGCGACGGGATGAGATGGTTGGATGGCATCACTGACTCAGTGGACATGAGTTTGAGCAAACTCTGGGAGATGTTGAAGGACAGGGAAGCCTGGCGTGCTGCAGTTCATGGCGTTGCAAAGAGTTGGACACAACTGAGTGACTGAACAACACAACAACAGTTTTTGTCCTGCAGAATACAAAGTTAAATTTAGGTAAAGCTGCTCTCCTATTTATGGTGCCACCTTCTCCCTTAACCGTCCAAAGAGAGATAGTGACTTCTGATCTTCACCCCATAGAGGTGATGTCACTACCCTTTGCTCTTACCGAATTTATCTCAGGCCAGTACTCTAAAATCTTAAGAAACCAAATACAGTATGAGGCTGAATTCTCAGGATGTGGTTGGAGTGTGTTCAAGGATACAGATGTTCTCTGAATGACCTTTTCACAAAATTAGCCTTCTGAAGGAGAAAGCTACCTGTCAGAGGCTTTCTCTGAGAGCAAAGTCTAACTAAAAATGAATTGCTAAATTCAAGTGTGTCCATAGGAGTTTCTGGCCAGAGTGAGGCAAGGTGGTCTTCAATTAGTGGTAATGCTCAGTTGCTAACTCGTGTCCGACTTTTTACAACCCACTGACGGTAGCTCACCAGGCTCCTCTGTCCATGGGATTCTCCATGCAAGAATACTGGAGGGGGTTGCCATTTCCTTCTCCAGGGGATCTTTCAGCCCCAGGGATCAAACTCACATCTCTTGTGTCTCTTGCATTGCAGGCAGGCTCTTTACCAATGAGCCACCAGAGAACGTCTTCAATTAGATACTGATTTGCTCGGGATGCCTTTAGATATTCTGTCACCCTAGAGCATATTGTTTGATACTTCTGTTGTTCAAGCTCATGTCTACTTTTTGTCACCCAGTTAGAAACTATAGTGAGATGAGATGATAATTTTATCTTTGGGCTTTGTTGCTTGAACTAGGTTTGTCTTGTCCCCTTTTTGAACATTTTGTGTTTAAAAATCCTATTTGGTGAGTAAACCAAATAGCTTTTCATGAAAGACCAGGTTGGGAAAAAAATGAACAGTTTGAACACCCCCTAAAAGGATTTATTTTTTTAAAAATCATGGCTCACTATGGAAGCATATGATATTATTTTCATACATGTATATGTAAAACCATTTTTTTTTTTTTTTTACAAAAAGCTGTTGTAACATGAAACCATCATCTAATCAGTAGGTTCACCAGTGCTTCAGCCTTCTCCATAGTTTTCCAAAACCTCCTCTGGTTCCCAGTCTCAAGGCCCAACACAAAGGGTGGATCTTGCAGATTTTGTGTTTTCTCTACAGTTCAGTCTTCAGCAACTTGAGAGCTTTCTTCATGTTGTCGAGCACTAATAGAGGAAAAAGTTACAAGAGTCAACACATCATCAGAATTATATTAATAGTTAAAGTTTATCCCTAAACTCTAGTATTCTGTTTCTTGTTTAATAGGTGCTGTTTTATCAAAGGGTGAATAGTTGGTAATTCTGTAAATTTTTTCTAAAAGTACATGAAATGGCTTTCATTATAATCCATATCTCTTCCAGTGTTTATTAAATTCATTTTCTACAAGGCTTGGTGATATTACCTGTGCAGAATACCTGCCTTTAAGGAGCCCAGAGTCCTAGTAAACTTTGTACCATTATCTCAAGACTGTTCAGTACACTTGGGATGTGCATCCCCTGGTTCTCTCAGCACCCACTGGAGGCATTGCTAATGGCCCGGGACGTTCTTTCCTCTGCTAGGCACAGCCTCACAATCCTTCCCGATATAACATTCTAGGTTGATGACACCAATTGAAATTTCTGTGATGATGAAAAATATTCAGTGCTTGTTCATTAAGTACTTTAAATGTGGTCACTGTGTCTGTAGATCAGGATTTTTTTAATTTTCATTTTTACCTGTAGGATAATTGCTTTATAATGTTGTGTTGGTTTCTGCCATACAGCAGGGTGAATCAGCCATAAGTATACATGGGTCCCCTCCGTCTCGAGCCTTCCTTTCACTCCCCAGCCCAGCTCACCCCTCTCGGTTGTCACAGAACACCAGGCTGAGCTCCCTCTGTTATGCAGCAACTTCCCAATAGCTGTCTGTTTTACACATGGTGATGTTTATATTTCCATGCTACTCTCTCAATTCACCCCATCCTCTCCTTCCCCCACTGTGTCCACAGGTCTGTTCTCTATGACTGAGTCCTCTCTTCCTGCCCTGCAAATAGGTCATCAGTACCATTTTTCTAGATTCCATATATTTGTGTTAATATGCTATATTTTCTTTTTTCTTTCTGACTTACTTCACTGTGTGTAACTGGTTACAGGTTCATCCACCTCACTAGAACTGACTCAAATTCATTCCTTTTTATGGCTGAGTAATATACCATCATATATTTGTATCACAACTTCTTTGTCCATTCATCTGTTGATGGGCATCTAGGTTGCATCCAGGTCCTAGCTATTGTAAATAGTACTACAATGAATATTGTGGTACATGTGTCTTTTTGAAATACAGATTTCTCTTGGTGAATTTTGTTTAATTTTCATTAAAGTTACTATTAAACTCCAGGTGGCTAATGGCTGACAAATTGGACAATGCCAGTCTATACAGTCATTAGTCATTGAGCAAATTGATCCTTAGGACAAAACCCAGTTTTCTTCCCAGAAGGACTAATTACATGTCACAGCTAGGTACAGTCTCCCATTGAGGTTCTTCTGCCTTGAGTCTCAAACTTTTTTTGTTTTTTCCATTTTATGGCAACCCCAGGGGAATTGAGTATCTTGGCAACTATTTGGAACCATCTTTCTTACTGATCTTTAAAATTGAACTCAAATTCAGCTTTAATAAGCTGGATTAAATGGTTTCACTTTTGTTATTTGCGAAAAAAAATTAACAAAGCATGCAGATTATTACTATTACCCTGGTACTATTACTATTGTACTCAGTTTTGTGGTAGAAGGAGTTACTTGTGCCAAAGAGAAACGTGAAAAGCAGGTAATATGGTCCTGTGGTCTTTCCCTGGAGGGAAAGACACCTAATCTAAATAATTCTTCTTTGAGATTTAAAAAAATGAGACCAAAGTGAATGTGATTTGATGGAGAACCACAAGACTAGATATAGTCAGACTGTTTCCCTGGAGTCTCTGAGCACGGCTTTTTTCCCCTCCCAATGTAGACTCTGTACCCATCACAACAGCAATTCTGTGGATATTCCAAGGAGGTAACACTTACATAGAGCTGTGTCTGAAGGTTCATAAGCATAGAGACGGTTTGAGTATCTTCCAGTGATGTCAGCTCTAACGGTTAGGGATGGGTCTACAAAGAAAAAGTTGAAAGGAGTGAAGTATTTTGTTTCAAAGGAACCTCTTTTGCAGAGGAAACCTACGTGTTTATTTGCATCCCATGAAAGCCTACGTATTTATTCACATCCCATGAAAGGAACACGATGTGCCCTGCTGGATGGGATTCTCCTCCATCCAGTCTGCAACCCAGCTGCTGCAGCTGGTAGCCAGAACCAAACTGGGAGCATTCAGTAGCCAGGCAGTAGTATTTGTGGAAAAGGTTACAAACTCTGCTGTTCTATCTATAGCAGCCTGAAAGCAGGGTAATATACATTGTTGAAGTGGTGTTTTGTTTTTGGTGAAAGCAATGGCCCTCTCTACTAAATAATTATTTTAAACTTTTGAAATGATTATGTTGTAATTGAAATATCTTACCAAAAGCAGCCTAGATAATTAGAAACTCACATCAAATGATAGTTTTCTTTTTTTGAAATATATATATATATATATATATATATATATATATATATATATATTTTATTTATCTTTTTGGCAGTGCCAGGTCTTATTTGCAGCATGTAGGATCTTTAGTTGCAACATGTGGGATCAAGTTCCCTGGCCAGGGATCAAACCTGGGCCCCCTCCTTTGGGAGTGCAGGGTCTTAACCACTAGACCACCAGGGAGGTCCCAAATGATAGTTTTCCAAACCAAAGTTTTTTTTTTTTTTTTAATGAATAGAAGAATTCAAGCTCTTAAGAGGAGCCAAGGTAAAATAATTGTGTATTGTCCTCATGATTTTTTTTTTTTTACTTTATTGTTAACAAGCTGCATGTTAAAAATAGAGATTTGAGAGTCCCTTATGTATATATTCCTCTAGGTTTAAGTCTTTTTATTTTTCATGTTTTACATTTAACTTGAAGTTACCAATTAATGAGAAAAAAAGGTATAAACAAGATACATCCAAAAAGGAGGTATTAAGATATACAGAGGCCTAGCAGCCTTTCCTTAAGAGAGTGATTAAAGGAGCCCGTGGTCCATTACCTGAGAATTAGATGCAAAGGACACATGAAACCTAGCCTCATGCATGCCAAGTCTGTCACTGGTACTTGATGGACAATCCCTGTCATTTCAGAATGTTGGACTGGGACCAGCAGACATAAATTACAGGAAACTGACCTGTGTTCACTCAAGAAAGACTTAAGATCTACTCTAATTCTGCCTGGTGTACACACAGGGTCTCTCCTTCATAATCTATTTATGAAAGAAAAGCTCTTAAGTCTCTGAACCATTGGCTCACATTCCCTGGGCTGCCCAAGGGAGTCACCTGCAGAGCATTCAAAGACTGCCACCTGCCTCCCACCCCGTGAGATTCTGATTTAACTGGCTTGAGATGTAGCCTGGGCAACTTGATTTTTCCAATCTCCCAGGCAATTCTAATATGCAGGCCTCGTGGAGAACTGCTGAGCTGGAAGAGCACGCTGCCTGGGACCTGGTTCTTATGACCAGAGGAATTAGACAGGGCTTAAAATGCCCTTGGGTTTCCCTGGTGGCTAAGACAGTATAGACTCCGCCTGCAATGTGGGATACTTGGGTTCCAGCCCAGGGTTGGGAAGATCCCCCGCAGAGGAGCTTGGCAACCCACTCCAGTATTCTTGCCTGGAGAATCCCATGGAAAGAGGAGCCTGGTGGACTATAGTCCTTGGGGTCACAAAGAGTTGGACACAACTGAACGATTAAGCACAGCACAGCAGACCGCCCTTAAGAGGAGCGCCGAAGAGAATTCCTGGACAGGGTTTGGCAGGATAACCTCTAAAGGCCCTTTCAGTGTAAGGATTCTAAATCTTCTAAATCCCTACAAGAGCAAAACTCTAAGATTAGCTCTGGTTCAACCTTGCTCCTTTCCTCCCTTCACTTTTTCTCTCTGTTTTCTAGGTTAGTGTGAACATGGATGAGTTACGCAGGTGAGCCCCTGGCTCAGACTGAGGTGTGCTATGTGATGAATTGAATTATGGATGGTCCATTTTTTCCAGTATGACTTTAATCAAAGTGAAAGTGTTAGTTGCTCCGTTGTGTCTGACTCTTTGCAATCCCATGGACTGCACCCTGCTAGGCTCCTCTGTCCATGAGATTGTCCAGTGAAGAATACTGGAGTGGGTGACCATCTGCTTCTCCAGGGGATCTTTCTGACCCAGGGATCAAACCCAGGTCTCCCACGTGGCAGGCAGATTCTTTACCATCTGAGCCACTTTGATCAAAGTCAAACTCAATCCATCTGTTCAGTCATTTAACAAATATTTACTGTAAGCCTACCACAGGGTCATTCTGAAAAATATGATGATGAGCAGAAAAAGATCTAGTCTCTACCACTTGGGGGTCAATAATTACTCAACAATCACCCAGTAAATGCAAAATTATAACTGAGGAAAGAGTGACCATTGAGAGGAATGTGGTGTTACAAGAACACATCATGGGGCTTTGAGCAGGTCTGTGAATGACAGTGATGACCCAGGTGACCTGGGGATACTGATGCAGGGTAGGGGCAGACGGGAAACAGCATATGTAAAGTACCAGTGGCAGGAAGGAGCATGGCTCCTCTAATTTTTTTTTTTTCTTTCAGCCCATATTCATAACACACCTAAGAAATAATGATCAAAAGCATCAGAAAGAAAAATGCAGCACACAAAAAGGATGCCTGATTAAATATCTACAGGCATGATATAATTTGAAGAAATACATTTAAACAGTGAACAGGGTACTTCCATCTCAGGTGTTCTTATGGCAGAAAATGAGAAGTTCAAATTAGCAGATGAAAAAATGTCATGTATGAAAATAGGTAGGAGCTTGCAGTTTCTAATGAAAATATTTTGTGAAACTGAAAGTTAACAGCTGGCCCCCCACCCCCCACTCCAGCTTTGTCACTTCTTGGCTGTGGTGAAGCAACAGGTGGGGGCGTGCAGGACCGAGGAGAAGATGTTTGTGCAGTGTTCAGAGTGTTTTATCTCATCGCCACTTGTACTTACCAACAAACAAAATCCTGGGCACGTATTGGCCATCAGGAGAAAGGTGCTTGTCAGTTG